TATATATATATATATATATATATGCCTTTAATAAGTAGCTTAATACGTCAAACGATAAACATTTATAGATTTGATATTATTATGAATTCACCCAATTATGGGAAAGAAAATTTCTTTTGAACTTGGACTGCGAATAAGTCGAGTTGAACTTGAATCATCCCTAACATGAGCTTTAGTTTGAGAGCTTAATTAATTAATCAAGTTTAAGCTTAGTTTTATGAGTTTATGTCGGCTTATGATTGACTCATTTATTTTAAAATAATTAAAATGATTTTGATTGATTATTGTAATAAAAAGAGTACTAAATTAGAGGAATTGTGAGAAATTACTTGATATGTAGATTTGATAATTTTTAAATGTTTTAAATACTGTGTTTCTAAATTTTTGAATTATAATATATTCTAAGTGTATTTTATATTCTTATTTTTTCAACAAGCAAGCTCATAAGCTTGTGAGTTGAGTTGGGGCTGGATTGAGTAGCCTCATTTGCTTATCAAACTTAGTTGACATGCCAATTATCTAGACAAGCTTGAGCTAGCTTATGGCCAACTTGACTCCATTACATCTCTACGCTATGCACAATTAACTATTGACATAAAATAAAATAAAGTGTTCATCATGTTTTTTAAGTTTTCATGAATTTGTCCATTAGTCATGGCTTAGGTAATTTGCAATAAATTAATTAATACTTGCAATATTTGTTGTTATTCATTATTTTAACATTAGGAGTGTCACTAATTGCATCATGAGCTGGAGTTTTTTGTTGGTATTCTGACTAGTTGCATGTTTGATATCTAAAAACAAGGCATTGTTTTTTGAATTTTTGTAGAACTATACTTTTTGTGATTGTCTATAAATTAATGGATTGAGTTTTAATTGTATCTCCTTATGTTGTTTGTTTTATGTAGCTATTAATCTATGAATTACATGTTTAGTTGTGATTATTAAATCCAAAAAATTTAAATGTTTTAAATTTATGCTAATTACCATCAATGCCTTTAATTAATGAAACCACTTAATTAGATCTCTTAATTAGTTAAGTACTTGTAGAAAATAGTAAAGCCTTAGATTCTAAGTAATTAGGATTCAATTATCTAATTAACAATTTAAGAATGCTATACCCCAAATCGGCTCACAAGCTGAAGAGGTACGTTAGGGCTGGCTTAAGTTTGGTTGGTTAGCTCATCGAGCTTGATTAATAGACTATTTATTGAGATGAGATCAGTTTGCTTGAATCAGTTTATGCTCCTACTCCAAACACCATGCACATCATATTAAAGAAAATTTCCATAAATAAAGTAATACTTGCTTTTTCATTGTTATTTTTTCTTAAATATCAAGATTACAACACTAATTAGATTTTAGGGTTGTTTTTTTATTTGGTATGAGACTAGTTGTATGTGTAATAATTGAAAACAAGGCCACTAATTTATGAATTTTCTTTTGGGTCTTAATTTTGTGATTTGCCCATATATTAGTCATTTAAGTTTTATTTAAACATTATGTTAACTTCTGTTTTGTTGAGTTAGTTATCTTTTAATTACATTATTAATTGTTATTATAACTTAAAAAATGTAATTGTAAAAAAATCATATTAATTATTGCTAATGCTCATTAATTATTACTAATGCCTCTAATTAGTAAAACCATTAATTTTGGTCATTTTTGTAATTAAGTATTAATAGAAAGTAGTCAAGCCTTTCATTCTAATCAATTAGTTTTTAATTATTTAATTAATCTTAAAAAATGCTATACTCTCTGAGTTGGCTCACGGGCAAAATAATCAAGTTATGGTTGGCCTAATCTTGGCTTGTTTGCCCATAAATCTTTGCTAATACAACATTTATCAAGATGAGCCCGAGCCAGCTTACGATCTAGCTTGACTCAATTACACTCCTCCGTTGAACACTATTCACAATTGGCTTAGAATAAAAATTACATCATATTGTTAAAGTAGTTATAATAGTTTAGTTAATTTCTTATAAATAAAAAACACTTGCAATATTGTTTTTATTGTCCTTTTTAACATTAAGATTGTGACAATAATTGTATCATGGGTTAGAGTTTTTTGTTTGGTTTTGGGATGACTGTGCATTTAATAATTGAACACATGCACTAACTTAGAATAAAAGGTTGTGACACTAACTTAATAAAAACATATTGTTTTTATGCCTATAATTTCATGATTATCTATAAATTAGTCATTTTTGCTTTTATTAAAATTTGATATTTGTTTTGTTTAGTTATTATTCTACTAATTTAATGTTTAGTTATTATTCTCTACTAATTTAATGTTTAGTTAATTTAATGTTTAGTTATTATTAACAACTAAAAAATTTTAATTGCTACAATATTACACTAATTGCCACTAGTGCCTCTAATTAATGAAACCATTTAGATTATTTTTGTAATTAAGTACTTGTAGAATATAATAAAGCCATAGATTCTAAGTAATTAGACTTTATTTATTTAATTAGTTTTAAAAATGCTATACTCCCCAAATAGGTACGCATTAAAATTAGTTCCATGGTAGCTCTTTAGGCGGAAGATAATGGGATCATTTTGAATTAGTAAACTAATGCTTCAATTTTCTTATTTTCCATTTGATTCCTCATATTCCAAACATCTTAAAATAGGATTTTTTTTAAAAACATATATTTTTTACAACAAATTAATTCATCTAATATAGTATTTTAAGTGAAATACCTAATTGTCTTATATTTCAATGAAATATTGATTGAAATACCTTTTTTATGCTCTGCAAGATATTAGTCGAATGCTTGGTATGTATCACGTTCGCGGCTTTAAAAGTATGGTCAATACCACAGCACATGTAAAATTTTCATCTTCTTGCCAGTAGCAATGAGTTTTATGTACCAAGCAATAGAACACTACAATATTAAGCCACATTTGGAAATAACTTTGCAGCACACTTGCCAGTATCAATGAGTCTTATGATGTCATGAATAATCAGAAAATTACTCATTCTTTTAATTGATATAATTGCTTTTATCCGAAAATTGGAGCTTTATTATTTTTATCCTTCTTTATGTCTCATTCCTTCGAATTGGGAATCAAAGTGACAATAATTCAGAGATATTGTCATACCACTCGAGCTTTGATTGGTGATACATAAGTTTTTGAAACCTGTAAGATTTACATATTTTCTATAAACCCTAGGGTCTAAATTTTCAAACATGGTTCAATAAGTTAAATTTTAGGGTTTCTAGGTTATTCTCACGCAAAAGATTTGATGTATGAATTGGGCTATGTTTACTTGAGAATTTCAATACTAGTGTTTCCTTAATCATGAGTTATGCATGATCTTATACTACTGATGGAATGAAGAGCACGGGCTTATTGCGCCAATGCCATTGAAGAAGATTTCCTCACAACATTGAGCTTTAAACATGCAAAACATCTCTACCACGGCTTCTCGTTGGTATGAGAGAGATGGCTGAATTTCTTTGCCAAATTTGATAGATGAGAGAGAGAGAGAGTTTATGATGAGGAGAGAAACTTTGGAACTTATTGGAGAGAGAATAAAAGAATATGGTGAATAATAAGGAGAGAATAGAGAGATTATTTACCAATAATTCAAATCAACTTTTAATTGAATGAATTAAAAAATTCCAGAAGCAAGCTGTATTTATGAGAAAACTAGATATCTCATGAGACTTTGATAAGCCTTTTAGTTTATCAAAATCTTTTAGAACCATATATATCTATTTTATTTTTGCCGTACAGTTATAAATCTTGTATCTTTTTGTAGTTTTTAGTCTCTTGGCATGTAATAAGCTCTACATGTATATGATTCAACACTATATTAATGCTTAGTCAACAACTTTTATTGAACCATGTTAGAAGACTGGAGATTTGATGAGGGCGTTTTTGTTTATTATATTTTTCATGTTTTTAACTTGGTCTTTATGCAATTGATATCTAAATTGTAATTTTTAATCATTAATTTTAGCAATGGAGAAAAAGGATTCATGTAGCCGACCCCACATAGTGGGATTAAGGCTTTGTTGTTACTTTTATTTTCAAAAGTTGTTGTTTTCAAATATTTATGAATACATGGTTTATTTATTCTTCTGTGCAGTTCATTCCTATTCCACTGATATCCGGATTTTATTTAGCACGGTTCTTTACAAAGAAGAGCTTGCCATCATACTTTGCTTTTGTGGCATTAGCAAGTCTCATGGTATCATGGTTTGTTGTGCATAACTTTTGGGATCTCAATATTTGGATGGCTGGTATGGATTTGAAATCTTTCTGTAAGTTCATCTTGTCAAGTGCGATCCTTGCTATGGCCATTCCTGGTTTTGTGCTTTTCCCGTCTAAATTACGATTCTTAACCGAACTCGGGCTTATTGGTCATGCTTTACTGCTGTGCTATATAGAGGATCGGTTCTTCAACTATACAAGTTTATATTATTTTGGATTTGAGGATGAAGTTATTTATCCTAGCTATATGGTTGTGTTGACGACCATTTTGGGATTTGCTTTAATCAGGAGGTTGGTTTCAGATCACCGTATTGGGCCAAAGGCTCAATGGATTTTAACTTGCTTATATTCGTCGAAATTGGCAATGCTATTTATTTCGTCGAAGTCCACTATGTGGGTGTCAGCAGTTCTGCTTTTGGCAGTTTCCCCACCTTTATTACTTTATAGGTATGGGTCGAATTACCTTTGTATTTTAATGGAAGTTAATGCATACTTTAAATTCTTGGAAAATACTAATCCTATTTTGGATTATTTTTAAACTCTTTAAAATGGAAGTATTATCATTGTTAGCTTTATCACAATTATATCGGATAATTTTATGAATCTTCATTTCTCATTATTTCTAGTGAATGTTGTTGAAGGTATTAAAATTGTTTTGTCCATCTTTTTTTAACTTATCTATAATGCTATATTTTGTTTTATTTATTTTTTTAATAATTCTTCAACATTAATGTTACCTTGAATGTTCCCTTCTGCTTGCTCAATCTGCCTAAGTTCATTTTTAAACTTATTTATAATCATTTCTTAATTATTATTTTTAGTTTGTCCAACGTAATCTTGTCATTTTTATTTTATTTCTTACTTGATTATTTATGATTTTTATTCTCTGAATACCTGAATATATCTGTAATAGGATTTTAAGGCTAGTTTTATGTGATATCATACATTTCTTAATTTTCATTAAATAAATGTCGTATTGTTTTTCTTAACGAATTTGTAGACATTTTGTGTTGCGCTTTCAATTGGAATGTTTCAATGAAATCATTGTCTTTCTTAATGTTTTAGATTGCTCAGATTCCTTTTCCAAAATTTGCAGGGATAGAGTGAAAGGAGCTTCAAAGATGAAAATTTGGCAAGGTTATGCTCATGCTTCTGTGGTAGCTTTATCTGCCTGGTTTTGTAGGGAAACCATGAAGCGCTTCAATGGTGGAATGGTATGCCTCCATCAGATGGTCTGCTTTTGGGATCTTACATACTCTTGACTGGATTTGCTTGCATACCAATCATTGCGTTTCACTTTTCCCATGCTCAGGTATTGATGCTTGATTTTGTCTTCGGGCTTTTTATGGACAGTCTTTTTAACTTTTTTTTTTTCATTTGCTCCTGCAAGGTGTTGTGTAATGATTAGCAATTTTTTGTTTTTATTTCTCTTACCAAATTACTAACTTTTCATGATCAAGTACGCGTGCTAGGTTCCTTGCTGCAAAATGACTAAAAACAAAATTGTTCTCAGTTATTTTCATAAGGATAGATTGGCTGACACTGGAGTTAACCCAAATCACAATAGGAAAAATAAATATTATTACTGAAATTAAATAGGCTTTTACAATCAAATACACATGAAAGGGAAATTACAAAAAAACACGACACACTCATACTAGGGCTCGATTCAGGGGGTGGGGGAGGTCGACTAGGTTGTCAGAGAGTGGAGATAGGTGGCTGAAAATGAGTTGTGGGTGGTTGGGACAGAAAAAAGAGGGGTCGGAATTGCATTGGCAGTGAAGCAGAGGGCCTGGACAACGGGGGCAGTTAATGAGAAGGTTTGTGGACTGCAGGACAACAAGAGGAGTGATGTTTGGTGCGGGGGCAGCAAGCATGGCCTACAACTACAGCAGGATAGGTTGTTAGTTAGAGTTGCTCGCCCTACAATGGGATCAAAACCCTTTCATAGAAGAACAAGAAGTCTCTCCCGAGTGGTTGTTAGTAGGGCGAGCAACTCTAACTAACATTTATTAAGCCTTTGGCCCAATACGGTGATCGGATGTAATGTGCCTTGAATTTGCTGGCAGTTTGCCCATCATTGAGATGCACTCTTCTTGAACTTGCTGACAGTTAGCTCACCATTCCATCGGTTAGTTCACCATTCCATCCGATGGCTTATCCTGACACTCAAGGAACATTACATGGTCCAGAGTCACTCGATGAACTCATCCGAATCCATTTTGCCATCAAAATATGAAAAATCCACCTTTACTTCAAGATTTTGTCTTCAGGGTAGAGGTTCTTCATCTTTGGCATCCGTATGGTGGAAGAGATTCACTCCATTCATTTGATCTAGCAAGTCACCGTTATGGCTACGGGTCATTCGTTTGGATGCTCTCTTTTCCTTAGTTTCATTAAGCCGTTGTAGCAATCGACGAAGTTGTCGCAATCGACGAAGTTGTCGCTTTTATCTCTTTCATGGTAAACTCCTGATTGATATTCGACTATCATCTCCTCGATGCCATGATTAGGGTATGGGGTTTGGATATGTGGAAGAGGGTGTGTAGGAATGATATAGGGTCCAATAATGGTTTGGGTATCAAGGATGCTAGAAACCCTAGTATAATACTGTAGTTAGGCTAACTATGATACTAGAGTTAACCCGAACCAAAATAAGAAAACCAAATATTTTTACTAAAAGTGAATAGATGGTTACAATCAAACACACGTGAGAGGGAACTTTCAAAAAGATATGACACAATCTCACACTAAGGCTTGATCCAAAGGAGGTGGACTAGGTGGTCGGGGAGAGGAGATAGGTGTCTGAAATGAGTTGTGGATGGTTGGGATAGCAAAGGGAGGGGCTGGAATTGCACTGGAAGTGAAGCAGAGGGCTGGGACAGCGAGGGGCAACTAAGGGGAAGGGTTGTGGACTGCAGGACGACAAGAGGAGTGTCGTTCAGTGCGGGGAAAGCAGGCAAGGATTGAACGGACAGCAGGATAGGCCGTAGTCCGGGCAACAACAAGTTGGAATGATTGTTGGACAGTAGAAGAACAACATATTTGCTGCTTTTCGGATTGCGGCAACGAGGATCAACTATTAGGAGTAATGTGGGACGATTGGGGAATGATGGAGCCGACTGTTCGGGATGGCAGTGAGGCGGTAAAGGGAGGTTGTAATGCAAGATTTGCATAAAATAGTCAAAAGAGCATGTTCCAGGAGGCTGCAATAGGGAAGGGGCGGCCGGGAGCGATGTGGGACAATGCATAAGGGGATAGGGGAAGTTAATACCTTGGGAAAGAGATACAATAGGAGCACCACCCATTCCCTTGGTTCCTTGGGAGCTCAATCGAGCTGCCCATTTTTGTGTTCCAAGGACTCTCTTTACATAGTTTTTATTTTGATGCGGTCCCCGAATCGTTAGAGCCTTGTAATTCTCCTCGATGATATGACCACATTTGCACATGTCTGAGGACTTATTTTTTGTATCTTTTTTATGTTTAATATAAAATGCACACCCTTTATGGATACAACTATCGAAGGGAGAAAATGGACGCCGGTGGCTGTCCTAAATGAACTCACGCCAAATACTCTACTCTAAACCCTAGTAAAACACATATATTGGACATGACTAAAAAGGAATGAAAGGAAAGGAGTAAACTGACTAAAATTGGAAAGGAAATGAAAACAGGGCTGCGCGGCTGTCTTCAAGCGATCATGGGAGCCACGACTCGTTCCCGCATCCCGCTCGTAAGCGGGAGACGCTTCTGCGTCATTGGTGGTAATGATATATCTTTTTTTTGCAATTTTATTAGGCTTATGATTAGTCACAGGTCACAAGAACTGGTTAATTATATGGCATGCTTGGTACTAATGCATGTAAAAATGAGATAGGCATAATGGTTAGTGATAATATATATATATATTGATTTTGATGAAATTTGATGCATGATTAACAAAGTCATGTTATGACATTGTCGCCTGAGTAATCTAAATTTTAATTATATTGCAAAGTTCTATCCTTATTTGCTTATTAATTAAAACCCTAGTTTTTATCAAATTGAGATTTGTCAACTTGCCAAACATAATAGAAATAGTTATTCCATGACTGTTACGAACCCTTAAATTTCTTTTTTTATTATCCATAGTGTATTTTAAGACATTCAAAGATAAACATACTAAGTGGGGCTAGACGGTTTCTCATTATAAACGATCACACTACAACTACTTGTGTATTCCTAATGAATGAGAAATTTGAAGCAACCCAAATATTTCAAACCTTTCATCATGATTCAAACTCAATTTCAATGTAAAATTCAGATCATCAAAACCGAAAATGCACATGAATATTTCAATTTCATCATTGAGTCCTATCATTCAAAAAATGAAATCTTTCATTTGAGTTCATGTCTTGATACCTCACAGCAAAATGGGATAGCTAAGAGAAAGAACATACATCTTCTTGAGGTATCCCACTCAATTATGATTTTCCATCAAATTTCAAAGTATTTTTGGGGGGAAATAGTTCTACTGCAATCGACCTTATCAATCGAAAGTATAGCTAAGTCTTGCTCACTTCTCTTAGTTTATCTATGTGTGATGAATTCTCGTGCAACACTGAGACAATAATTCATTACTCTACCGCCGCGAATTTTCTGGCACACATCATGTTTATATCTTAACTTTTCTACTATACCACTTAAAATTTTTAAGTGCGTATTCTTTGTTCACATAAATTCCCAAAATCGCACAAAACTTTACTCTCTGATCTAATCTAGTGTATTTTTCTTGTGTATGCTCTCAACAAAAAAGAGTATAAATGTTACTTTCTTGTTATTAGAAAATACTACAACTCCATGGATGTAATATTTTTTGAAAATCAATCCTAGTACCCCAATTTTGATGTTCAAGGGAAGAGCAAATGAACATCAACTTTGGGATGCACTTGATGACACCTACATATCCTCACCACTTACACCACCTAGTCCTCCTATCCTGGTTGAGAATATCCAATCAATCCAACCAACTCAATTTGAAGTTTATAACAAAAAACTGTGTGTGTACACAAGGAAGAAAAATCTTGAGCAGGTGGAGTGGAAAAAAATTTGCGAGGACAAAATTGCTCAAACCAAAACCCGACAGCGCATTCACCTGAAATTTTGGGAGTTATCCCCTTCCTCTTCTGATGTTAGTGATAAAGAAAGCAATATTAAATATCCAATTCAGGAGTATTTAGTTTATGAGAAGCTATCCTCTTCTTACAAATCTTTTATTTCTAATCTTGATAGCGTGCATATTTCTAAATCCATTCACGAAGCACTTGAAAATATAGAATGGAGAAAAACAGGTGAAGAGAAGATTCAAGCACTGAAACATGATGACGCATGAAGTGGGTGTTCAACATCAAATACAAAGCTGATGGGTGTATTGAGAGATTCAAAGCCAGATTTGTTGGAATTCACTCAAGTCTATGAGCTTGACTATCAGGAAACTTTCACATCAGTTGCCAAACTAAACGTTATCGGAGTTCTCCTTTCAGTAGCAATTATTAAGGAATGGGTACTGCATCAACTTGACATAAATATTGCATTCCTGAAGTAGAATTTGGAAGAAGAAGTGTATACGGAGATACCGACAAAACTTTATAATGATTCCAACAAATTCCTATTATGGGTACTGCATCAACTTGACATAAATAATGAAGTCCTGAATGAGAATTTTGAAGAAGAAGTGTATACAGAGATACCAGCAGAACTTGATAATGATTCCAACAAATTCCTAGTATGCAAACTCAAAAAGTTTTTCTATTGACTTAAGCAATTAACAAAGGTGTGGTATGAAAGGTTTGCTAAAACTATGAGATCTAATGATTATTCTCAAGATCAATTTGATTAGCATGGGATTGGGTGATTTCATGTTAGTATTTGTTCCATTTGTAAAGGAAGGCCATAGTGGGTGAAAATGTTATTTTGCAGAAAATTAATGATTACTAAGGTTGTTTATTTTACCAATAAAGCATGACTTAAATTAATTGTTTTAATCCACCAGCAGCGCTACGAATATCTCCTTTCATATGCTTAAAAGTTTACCCGTTCTATTCATTCTTCATTCCTTAAAAACATGATTTGTTGATGAGATATGTTGCTTTGTTCAATTTTGAACATTCCTATAAAACTAATTATGCTTGCACTTTTTGGTTTACTTTTTAGTCACCGAAGGGTCGGATAGTGGTACTATTGCATGATTGTTTTTTTGGGCTAGCATGAGCTTGACTGGTTTGCTATCACATTTGTGATTGTGGATTTTTTTAAAGGCTTTCTTGGGTTGTC